ACCTGTGGTCCCAGCTACTTGGGAGGCGGAGGCAGGAGACTCGCTTGAGCCTAGGAGTTGGAGGTTGCTGTGAGTTGTGATGCCACAGTACTCTATCCAGGGGGACAGCTTGAGACTCTGTCTGAAAAAAAAAAAAAAGCATGGGCGGCGCCTGTGGCTCAAAGGAGTAGGGCACTGGCCCCATATGCTGGATGTGGTGGGTTCAAACCCAGCCCCGGCCAAAAACTGCAAAAAAAAAAAAAAAGCAGGGAACAGCTCATCTGTAATCCTAGCATTCCAGGAGGCCAAAGCAGGCAGATTGCCTGAGCTCAGGAATTCAAGACCAGCCTGAGCACAAGAGCAAGAACCTGTCTCTAAAAATAGCCAGGTGTTTTGGTGGGTGCCTATAGTCCCAGCTACTCAGGAGATTGAAGAGAATCACTTGAGCCCAAGAATTTGAGGTTGCTATGAGCTGTGACACCATGGCATTCTACCAAGGGCAACCAAGTGAGACTCTGTCTCTCCCCCCCAAAAAAGCATGGTACTGCTTTGTTTCAGATCGTCCTACAGATCCCCAGTGCCCTTACAACAAAGAACCAGGCACTTATCTAATTTAGCTTTCTCTTCCTGCTGTGACCGTCTTTGAGGGCAGGATTGGGTTTGTGTTGGTTGTTCCTGTAATCCTGGGTCCTGAGACGCAGTTTTCCATTGAGTGCACTGATCACAGTCTTTTATATTCATTCCAGATATGCAACTGGTTTATCAACGCCCGGCGGCGGCTTCTGCCAGACATGCTTCGGAAGGATGGCAAAGACCCTAATCAGTTCACCATTTCCCGCCGTGGGGGTAAAGCCTCAGATGTGGCCCTCCCCCGTGGCAGCAGCCCCTCAATGCTGGCTGTGTCTGTACCAACCCCCACCAATGTGCTGTCTCTGTCCGTGTGCTCCATGCCACTCCACTCAGGCCAGGGGGAAAAGCAAACACCCCCCTTCCCACAGGGAGAGCTGGAGCCCCCCAAGCCTCTGGTCACCCCTGGTAGCACCCTTGCCCTGCTGACCAGGGCTGAGGCTGGAAGCCCCACGGGTGGACTCTTCAACACGCCTCCGCCCACACCCCCAGAGCAGGACAAAGAGGACTTCAGCAGCTTCCAGCTGCTGGTGGAGGTGGCGCTACAGAGGGCTGCTGAGATGGAGCTTCAGAAGCAGCAGGACCCATCGCTCCCATTACTGCACACTCCCATCCCTTTAGTCTCTGAAAACCCCAAGTAGGCATCTGCCAGCAGGGGTGCTCGAGGCTTGAGTCAGCTGTCCTGGGTTTCCGTTTTGGTTCCCTTCCATACAGAGGGTTTTCTATGGATCACTGCCAAACATCAGGATCATCTCTGTCCAGAGGTCTTCAGCGGGAAGACGCCAATTGACATCACTGTACAGTGACGTGGGACCTCTCCTCTGCTAACTCTGCCATTTCTCCAGGCCTCCCCTCAGTGGTGATGCCAAGAGATTGGCAACAGGCATGGTGCTGCTGCTGCTGCTGCTCCAGAGGATTCCTGGGACACCTTTGTTCCAGCCTAGTTTCCAGGGCTGGGCTCAGGAACCCTGCCAAGTTCCGACCTATGCTGGGTCCAAACTGCTCCTGAGCTGTGCCTCTTTCTATCAAGCCAGGTGTGGACATTCCAAGTTCCTAATCGTGAACAAAAGAAAAGAGGAGCCCAGCAGATATAACAGAACCGACTCCAGTTGAATGTTTAGGTTTTTGCTAAACTGTTTATTTTTTCCTTTTTGCTGTGGTTTGCATTAATGGCAGTAGTTAGCCCAGGTGTGGGGAATGAGGATGCATTACATGATGGAATCTGATGAACTAGGAATGACCCACCACTGCAATTTGGGAGTGTTTTGCAAGGAAGGAGTTTTTATTTGGGGGACCAGCTAAATCTCTGCAGTTGTGTGTGAAATTCCAAATGGTGGTTGTATTGTTGGTTTGATTTACCAAAAAAGAAACAAAACCATACAGGCATTGGCTTTTCTGCATCAGTCACAGAAGGGGATAAAGCCATGGCCAAAAGATAGTCCAACAGAGTCTGACTAAACCTTCCAGGTGCAGAGCAGACAGGAAGATGGTAAAACCAGAGAGGTGTTTGGTTTTTTTGTTTTATTTACTGTATTTTTGGGGGGGTAGGGAAGTAAGCTAGACTGAAGCAGTGGATATTTTTTTCTTTAATGTTTTTCCCTTCTTTCTTTACCACTTTTGCCCTGCAGCCTGAGTTTTGAATTACCTAAAGGAACTTGGAGATTAGTGGGGCTGGAGTATCACAAACTCCCAGCATCTCCAGTTTGGGGGAAGTGAGCCACCTACTGGTCAGAAAGCCTCCCAATTCCCCAGGGTGGCAGAACTGAGGGGGAAGAAGCAGTGGGCAGTGCAGGCAGCTGCCCCAGGAACTGCCTTCGGAGGTAGTGGGGCTGGAGATGGGTTAGAGCCTGTTTGTTGTGTCTTTGTTTCACTTTTCTTTAGCTTGGAGTTGCAGGGTGCCCACCCTGAGTTTCACAGTTGTTCTTAAGGCGTGAGCCACTGGGTCATCCTCACAGTTGGTCTTGTGCTCCTCCCTCACCCCCATTTTTTTCTTTTGCTGTTTCATTGTTGACAGTGTCAACAGCAATATGTCCCATCTTTATATATCCTAAGAAACACTAATCCTAGGTTATTATTAGCCAAAATATTTTTGTTCTGAATAAGATTGTTACTGGGCCAAAAGATAGGTCGAGAGCCCTAGCCTTTAGTTTCCTGAAATTGCTGGGCCAGACACAGGAGGGGTTCCTGGGTGTTGACTTGAGGGGTCTGGACAGGAAGAAGGCAGCAACACACATTTTGTCCTTTGTGTCCTGCAGCCCATAGGGAGGCTCCCCTACTTCTGAGTGGCTTGGCCCATCTGTTGCTGTGGGAATGGGAATTGATTACTTAAGGAGAAGGAGTTGTGCTCTCTGTGAGTAGGTTTCTTGGGCTCTGTTATTTTGCCTTTGTCTGGCCTCTTCCTATGTCTTCTGGTATGCCCCCAGGGAGTTCAGGGATCCTCACCCTCCTGAGGCCCAGCTGGGGAAGAATGAACATGGCAGCCTCAAGGTTAGGTAAAGCTGCTGTTTGCCCAGCCTCTTCCACCCCAACTGTGCCTGTGAGCCCAGGTCTGGTGTGCCTGCTGCAGATACCTGTAGGAGGGACTCTGGGAGTGTACTGGGCTAGTGGGGAGTAGATTTTCCCTCCCTGCAGTGCACTGAGCGGTGGAGGGGGTAAGGGAGCCATGCTGCTGAATTCTGGTTGGCATCCCCCCTAGTGTAAAGTGGGGTGTTGGGGTGGGGCAGCCACTGCTTGGGTTTGGTTTAAAGATAACTGGAGGAGAAGCACAGTTGTCCCATTGAATTGAGGAAAAACTACTGTAAATAACATGTTTTTGTCTTTTGTCAAATAAAGTTGTTTTTGTTCTTTTTTTAAGCAGAAACAGGGTTCTTGATTGATCTACTGTATCTCTGGAAGGCCTAGAGACAAAGCTGTCACTGAGTTCTTACTCTGCCTTATATTTTATTCTCCCTCTGGTAGCCAGCTGTGCTATGCGTTTTGTGCACCCTCCACCAGTTTCCTCTCCAGCCTCCTTCCAGGTCGCATTCATCAGAATGGATGGACAGGGGGCATATGCCTCCCAGGTGGGATCAGTCGTCCCTGGGCTCTATAGTTAATCCTTGGGATTGCTCAGGGCTAAGCAAGTAGCCTTGGGACAACTGGCAACTTTGTCCTCTCACTCACTGAGGACAGAGAGCATGACCGCAGCACGAAGCCAGCACAGAGCAGCAGTTACAAGATGGAGGTTCTAGTGATGTCTGAAACCAGTGCCACCTCTAGACTTCCCTGTCATAGAAGCTAGTGAATTCATTCCTTTTTGCTTAAGCTCCCTATAAATGCATTTCTGCCATACTGAAATGACAGTACACTAATTGCAGCCTGAACTACAAAAACCAAGGTGTGAAACAGTAGTAAACATGAAGTTTTGCCAGGTCTGTCTGGGCTTATGTACACATACAAAAGTGAGATTGCCCTCTAGGTGATAAAACTGAGTTACTTGCCTAAACTCATAGTTCGGGTATGAGGCTGGATAAATTAAATTTGCAAGCTCATCCTAGAAAAAGATAACCACATACCTCACTGCTGAATATCACTATACTCACCATTGAAGTACTTGGGAAGCTATGCATTGACACCAGTACCTAGTCTACCCTTCAAAGCACTTTTTGGAACTTTCTGGAATGGCTATCAGGGCTATTATCATAGGAGGCCTGACATTTAAGTATGAACTTGTCCTAGGAAAAAAGTTATACATACCCACCTGTTAAATATTAACTATGGTCACCAAATGGACATGGGTAGTACTTCAAAGGTGACCATAATGATACTCAGCAATAAGGTAATACAGTATTTTTTTCTAGGACAAGTTCATGAACTTAATTGTCCAACACCTTGTAAGTATGGAGCTAGGACTTGAGTTCAAGTCTCTTGCTTCAGGGTCACTCTGAGGTCAGCCCAGAATATATTTGATCTAGTGGGCAGTAACATCTGACATACAACTGTGTAACAGTGGTATGGAGCTAAGCAAGAGAAGTTTCTTCTGTGAACCAAATCAGCTTCTTCGTAATTTCTCCTCAGTACCCCAGGATTAAGGATGTTCAGTGTCCCACAGGTCACTCTCCTTTGGTAAATGGAGTGGGAATCTTCCGCACTGAAGTTTCCCAGGTTAAAGAGCCCTAACTCCTTTGCCATTCATCCATGGTCCAAATTTTCCCCACTTCCCTCTCAAACTGAATGCTTGACCCTGGGGTTTGGCAGAACAGGAACATGCTGGAAGAACTCTTCAAAATGAGTTTAATAGTCCACATCTTGGAAAACAGTAATTTTTCCTAAAAGGGGAAGTGATTTGGTGGATGGTTCACCCACCTAAGGAGAGATGGCTTCTTACACAACTCTATTTCAAAGAATTGAAAAATGTCTTCTGGGGTGGTGCCTGTGGCTCAGTGAATAGGACGCTAGCCCCACATACTGAGGGTGGCAGGTTCAAACCCAGCCCCAGCCAAACTGGAACAAAAAATAGCCGGGCATTGTGGCAGATGCCTGTAGTCCCAGCTACTCAGAAGGCTGAAGCAAGAGAATCACCTAAAGCCCAAGAGCTGGAGATTGCTGTGAGCTGTGATGTCACAGCACTCTATCAAGGGCAACAAAGTGAGACTCTGTCTCTAGAAAAAAAGAAAAATGTCTTCTGCACTGAGCCCCAATTGAAGAGCTTCTGAGTCCTGGAGTCAGCAAACACAGGGGAATGAAAGTTGACAGAGGAACAAAGTAGTTAGGGCCCCTCCTCTGAAGCTAGGAATCTAGGGACATCCACCTTGTAACAGCCTTATTTAGGAAACCTTTTTTTGTTTGTTTGTTTGTTTTTTTGAGACAGAGCCTCAAGCTGTCCCCCTGGGTAGAGTGCTCTGGCATCACAGCTCACAGCAACCTCCAACTCCTGGGCTCAAGTGAGTCTC